TCCTCTGTCCCCTGCCTGTAACTTAGCTCCCTGCTTTCAGGCCCTCCTCAAGAACACCACCCCCAGCTTCCCTACCTGTGCTCCAAGGACTAGTGAAATCTCAGCCCCACCAGAGGGAACTCTCTGCTCCAACTCCACCAGCTCATTGTTGTTTTACTACTTTGGCCCTGAACCCAGATAGCCACGTGCCATTTAAAAGTCCTTAGGTATGTGTGTCTGCACTTGAGGTAGACACTTCAATCTCCTGAAACAGGTACTTGCATATAGTATGTTCCAAAACAATTTGCAGATTTATTTTGCAAAAAAAGGGGTAAAAACCATGGGAAAGACAAGAAGAATGGGGGAGGCTTAGTAAGACAGCCTGTAGGGGGTACTCTGAGAACATCGCTCTGGCTAATGGAAAATGGAATGGAATTGGCAGCTCTCAAAAAGAGCAAGCATGTAGTTAGTCCTTGTTTCTCCTCACAAGTCAGGTCTATCTGGAATTGAATTAGCCCTTTTACACACATGGGAAGTGGAGGAGTGAGGGGAGAATAATAAAAGGGGGAGACCAGTGATGCTGTTGTGGAGTGCCACTACAGACATTAGTACTGTCCTCTACTAAGCTGGAGAAACAAAATAGGACTGAAAATTATTCTGCCAGCAATAGTTTTGGAGGCATGCCCTATCCATGCCTCTTTTAGCTTAATGACTCCAAATTTTACCTTTAAGACTTATTTCCAGAATGATTCGGACTGAACTTTCCTATGTTCATACATGAATATAAGATCAGTGCAACTCCACACCATGTTTAACCACAAGAATGTGATCAAAGTTATAATGGGTTGAATCCTATGTGTGTATAATATGTCAAAATACACCCTACTGTCATGTATACCTAAAAACAAATTTTAAATTACATAAGGTATACATGTATCAAAATACCACACATAACTTCATTAACATAAAAAGTTTTGTTTTTATGTTTCAGTTAAAGATAAATTTAATTTTTTAAAGTTTAAAAAAGAAAATAAGCAGTAAGCATCATGATGACTTTCAAGTGCAACTCACATTTTATAATAAAAATTTATATATTTTTTATCTAAAAAAATCCATTCCTTTTTCAAAAAAAAAAAAAAGACTTATTTCCATCATTCCCCAGGTCAGCAGGGAAGAGAAAGCTGAGAATACACCTGGTGGAACCCAAAGGAAAGGTGTCTGGCCAGCTCCGGCAGCAGATATTTAAACAGAATCTCCTCTTCACTGGCCTTTATCTTTTTTTTTTTCTTTACTATAATTTGAATCCTTGGAGGGAAAAAATATTCCCACATCCAGAAGTGGTAACTGGGCAAAAAGTCAGGCAGGCAGAGGCTGGTATGCTCCCCACAATGGGGTATCAGTCTCTTTCTTGTCTTTCCCTTCACCTTCTTCCTTCCTTTCTCCTCCCATCCCAGCTATACCTGTTTTATTGCCCTCTGTCTTAAGCCTCTTTTCCTTTTCCTTCATTCTCCCCGCTTCCTGGGTGATGTGTGTTTTTCCCCTCTCTCATTCACTTCCTCTGTCTCCCTGCCTCCTTCCTCCTGTGGCTTTTCCATGCTCCCAGAAGTCACATTTCTCTAGAACACCTGTGTCAGAAGGTGTTCTAACTAGCTGTGTGATTATGGCCAAGCTACTGTATATCTCTGGGTCTCAGTTTCTAGATGCTCTTTCAGTCCTTTGCAGCTCTGAGATTTGTCTCTGAATGAAATGGAATCAACCCACCAACATAGCAGCTGCTGTTGTAGAAACAGGAAAATCAGGCTAGGTGCCCCCAAAAGCACAAGCACCAGGGGGCGCCCGAGGACCACTCAAAGACAGAGGATTTACTACTTGCTTTGCAGGCACTGTTCTGGTATTGCAATCTGTCTCGTGAGATGGGTACTGTTGGTGGTGGTCCTGTTTTAGAGGTGAAGAAACTGAAGCACCATGAACTGGAGGGATTTGCCCATGGTCACAAAGACAAGTCACATGAGAATAGGATTTACACTCAGGCAGATTCAAGAGCCTGTGCTTGTATCCCACAATTCTGCATTGCCCTGGCCACTGATGCTCACATGCCAGATTCCCATAAAGCTACTTAGTAAACACCTCTGGATCCCAAATGTGCTTCGATTCCTTAGGTCCAGAATACATGTATAGGTCCATCAATCTCTCTACCTCTGACCTCTAACACATTTGCCTATAGCTATTATTATCAACTCACTATTGCCCTATGTCCTCATCAGTATCCTCTGGTAGCCTTGTTCTTTATATTTTCAAATGTGCCTGTCTTCATGAGCACTGAGGCTGTGTCCCTATGTCCTCTTCCCGGGATGGAAACACTTGGAAACTCACGATTTTCATATCACAATTCTTGTAGGCAGCCTCTAGCTACTCACCAGCAAAGCTACTACTGGATGGATTATGAAGGATAAATGGTATTCACTTCACAAGACCCAGACTGGGATGCTCTAATAGTTTGGTAAATTCAGCAAACAGAAAGAGACAGCTCAGAGCTGTAAGGGACACAGAGAGGAAGAAGCCCTGGTTTCTACTTGCAAGGAGATAAGAGAAGCATTCAAGGATTGAAGATAGTGAAATGTAATGCAAAGGTGAAAGTGTTTATCAAAATCACAACACTCTTGGGGAAACAAGGGACAGGAATATTATTTGTCCAGTCTGATCCTAAAAACTAGGACTGGCTCATGCATGGCTAGGAGTCAAGAGACCAAAGAGCAAGTCCCTCCCTTTCACCTTCAAATGTGTGAGTCCAGCTCCCTTCTGAAGCACAGCTCTGACACCTGTTGGGCAGTAATGGCTGTTTGGATGTCAGGTACACAACTGAGACCCATCACCAGATTTAGCCACCCTCATTCTCCCACAATTTCTTTGCATCTGTGCCAGTGTCAGATACACAGATGAGTGAATGAGCATGTGAGCAAGTGGGACAACAGTAAATGAAGTCATGCTCTCAGAAGGCACAGTCACATCTCCTGAAAAGAACAACAAAATTAACCAACCTGGGAATTCAGTTCTCATAGAAAGAAAGCCCAAGCCCCCACACGCCCACCTTCTAATCTTCTGCCTGATTTTGTGCGGCACCCACAACATATAAATTGAAAGGCTCTCATTTTGTAGAGTATGATGTAGCCACCCATGCAGTGCTATTATTTTTCTTCATTTTAGTGTAGATGTCATAGTTTCCACAGGAAAGTCTGATAACAGCCATTCCCCAAGAATTGAAGCATGGCATGTCCCCTGTTCTTGGGGAGGCCCTGCATCTGCCCTCCTTGTATTTCCTCTACACCTCTCCAGAGCCAGCCTAGTGTCACAGACCTAAGAACAGAAGGAAGATGAAGAGAATCCCAGGAGACTGTCCATCCACAGTCCACAACTTGGTCATCTTGGAGAGTCATGGAGAGTTCATCCCATGCCCCCTCTTTTGTGCCTGCAAAGATTGATACCTCACTCTGTCTCAATCACAGATGGCCTCCTGCTATCCTGTGTTCAGGGGTGATGTATTTATCTGGATGGCTTGATATTTCAGGAGCTGGACACTGCTTCTCCACTCTCCACCAGGGTTTCAGAGCTGGGCCAGCACATTAGCACTGCCCTCCCTCATAAAGTGTCCCTCTGATGACTCAATCATGGTCCCAGTCAGGAGAAGGTGCTGCAAGGGAGTTTGGGAAGCCCAACAAAGGGAAGTGAGCCTAGAGGCCCCTCTATTCCTGGGGCTGACTTTACAGTGATGCCCACACGCCAGAAGGTGTCCCAGTGTTAGCGATGACCCCCAACCCTGCATGTCTACTCAGGCCTCCAACACTAGGGCCCTTCCCAACAACAGCTGTGAAGACACACACAGTGGGTTCTCAGGTTCCTAGGCCTATTCTGCTTCACTTGTTCATTAGACCCAGTCAATACCACAGAAAGAAAGAACAGAAGGAAAGTGAATCATTATTCCATTTGTATAATCCAGAAATTGTAAGGTAGCCACAGGAAAGTCTAGCAACAGAAGTTTGAGCCCAAGCCCCCTGGCCTACCTCTTGTAAACTCAGAGGGAAGTGACACTGATCCCCATCTCAGGCCCATATATCAGATCTCAGGGCCCCTCCTGGGATCTTCAAGGAGACAGAAACAGAAAGCACAAGGGGAAAAGAATAGCTTATTCCTTCTGAAAGAGCATTTGTGTCAAGGCTGTCTTCCATTTCTTCTTTTTTCTTTTCTTTTTTGCAGTAACGGGGACTGAACACAGGGATGCTTTACCATGGAGCTATAATCCAGACCTTTCTATTTTTCATTTTGAGACAGGGTCTTGCTAAGTTGCCCAGGCTGGTCTTGAACTTACAATCCACCCATCTTAGCCTCCCAAGCAGCTGGGATTACAAGAGTGTGCCACTGCACCCAGCTTCCATTTCTTCATTATTTGTGGTCAAGAGAAAGCCATGACTGGTGTAACGATGCAAAACAGTTAAAACCTAAAGCAACCTCTAATCATGGAATGGACAGCAGATGATAACCCATGTTTTAAACCTAGTTTCACAGATCCACTTGCCAATAATCTTCTGAAAGTTCCTGTATCTTGCCCCTACTTGGTGGAGAGGTGAGCTCACTTTATGTGATCCTTTGCTCAGATAATCCTGCAACCCCCAAGCTGTCTAGCAATCTCACCAACTGCGTGAGGTTCAAACTCACCAAAAGAAAAATGGTATATGGCTGCAAGGAATTGCTGCTCTTGAGACTGAGCCTCCCTTTCCAACATCATATAGCAAGAAGGTCCAGTCTCCAAGCTACTTAGGCAAAAAGCATGCAATTAACAAATCCAGTGGTTTTTTGTTTTGTTTTGTTTTGTTTCTTTTGCAAGGTGTGGGGATATAGCTGCAGGATGAATTGCCATTTCTCTCTATCAGTATGGGCTTCCATAGGGCCTGATCCACAGGTCAGGGACTTGAGCTCAGTCTGTCTCTTGGGATAGATGATGGCTGCAGGGGAGCAGAGCCTGTTACCTGCTGCACGTCCTGCTGGAAGACGCAGAGCTGCAGCCGCTGGTGAAGCCGCACCTTGCGGTGCTGCCAGATGCTCTCAAGCCGCCGCTGGTGGTGAAGCACCTCGTGCACCACATCCAGCACCTGGTGCACCGCCTTGGAGTAGTTGGCTGTGGCTGTGAGGGACTCAGAGTTACCAGGACTCAGGGGACGCTGCAACACATCCAGCAGTGCTTTGCCATCCTGGCTGACCTGCAGGAAGGAAAGAGTTTAGGTCAAGGAACCAGAGAGGCAAAAAAGTCTGCTTTAGGGGTCCATGGTTAAGCCTGAGAATCTCAGTCATCTCCAGGCTCATCAAAACCAAGACACATGTTAACCAGCAACAGCTGCCACAGTGCCCAGCCCATGGCCCAGAAGAGGGAAGGTCCTAGGGAAAAAAGTTGCCTGGAGCCACGGCCAGCTGTCTATGAGACCCTCATAAATTTTAGCTGCTAAGGGCAAGAACTCTGCCTTGTTCATCCCCACCCCCAGGTCTAGAACAATGCCTGGCACATAGCAGGCACTGGATGAGTATTTTGAATGACTCATGGACAACATCAGGCAGCAGAACTTCATTTCACAAATGAAGCCAAATATGTCACCACCATAAAATCCTTTCCTGCTCTTCCTCCCTCAACATCCTCTATGTGGCTCTAAACTTCCAGATGTATGATCAGAGACTCTGGGCCTCAGTTTCCTTGTTTGCAGAGGAAGAATGAAATTGGCACATACCTCACAGAGTTGTGATATTAAATGAGATAACATATGGAGGTGGGCTTCCATATCTACCCCTGGGATGGGAAGGAGGGGCAGTCTATGACCCTACATCATTTTCTTTCCCTTTCTTCAGGCTTGGCTGGGGGTTGAGGATCACACAGGCAGTTGGTATCCTGCACATGAGGCCACAGAACGCTCTCTGACTGCGTGATTGAGAGCACTAGAGTAGAATGATTGGGAGAGGAAACCACCACTGCCCACCCAAGCTCACCCACCCCTGTCTGCCATCACTTATTGCTGGGGAGGTAGCTTATAACGCAGAGGTAATGCCCTCCTGAGATGTGAATAAGTATCCTATGACCAATCCCAGATCAGACCTCTTCAGAGAATTCTGAGCAAATTCATTCCCTCTCCCTCTTCCTCTCTCTCACAGGAAGATGTGAGACGGAGGGCCAAGTCCTGGAAATCCAAGTCAATCTGAGTTCCAGGCCTCTGCCTCAGTCTCCACATCTGTAGGAGGCTGGCACCACCCCGACCTCTGAGGTGGGCTTGGAAAAGGCTCCATTGTATAAAAGGCTCCAGCCACAACTCACAGTGTGAACCAGTGAGTATATTATTAATCTCAGTTGTGCTTTCTACTTCTGTATTTCATAAATTTAGAGATTCTTTATTCTGGAATAAATTTAGAGATTCTCTACCCCTGGGTAGAGGCACAATATTGTCAAAAGAAAGTTTTGAACCATTTGAATCCGAGCTTCTGAGATCTGATTTGGCTCACAAGTCCCCTCCTTTGTGTCTTAGACAATGAAAAACTCTGTTGCCATGTTTAGTACTGATCACTGTCAGGCACTGGGCCACATGCCTTACATGCATCGTGTTTACAACCCTTGACTGCATCCCAGGAGGCAGGTGTTCCCACCTTCATTTCACAGAAGAACCTGAGTGGGATGTGACTTACCTGAGGTCACATAGCTACGAAATGGGGGACCTGAGATACAAACTCAGTTTTGACTGTGACAAAAATGCTAGTGTTCTTTTACATATGCAACAAACTCACCTGAAACAATAGTTATTAAAATGTTATGTCCCAAGCCATACTTCTCGACATTCTGCTTCAGTCTGGAATGAAACCCAGAAATCTGCATCTTTAACTGCCACTCGTGAGTCTAACACATGTGGTCTGGGAATGCATTATGACAAACTCTCCTCTCACTTCTGCCCCAGAGGAAATGCATGGGCCAGATCTACATTCATTGTCCCTTCCTCTCCCAGCTTCCCAAGTCACATCTCTTTCTATCCCTCAAGCCCCTTCCTTGGAATCCACTCCAGTGAGTGAACCTCCTTACCTGTGGACATCCACATGATGCACCCATACGGAGCTTTTCTTTATACTTTGAAAGGAATGTCAAAAAGTTTTTCTCCAAACTTTGTAATTATCTCCCTGCCTTTGATTTTTTTTGGTGGAGAGGACTTTCAGTTTGTCCTCATATCCATGGCAGCTTCTCACTCCTGCACACTTAACTCTACTCATGTTTTTCTGTGGATCTTGTAATAAGAAAATTCGTTTTTTGAGGAGCTTCTTCATAAAAGGAGTGGCAGCAAGGTTGGTGTGAACATATTCATTCACCAACTGTAAAACCAGAAAGCAAATTCACAGTAGCCAAGCCTGGTTCCTCACATTCCTCCCCACAGAGAAGAAAGTCAAGTCTTTACCCACAGGGTGAGGTAGGTGTGTGGGTACATGCCTTGAGAGACAGAGAGAGAGGATGCGTGCACAATGGAGTGGTGCTTGCTAAGGGCCCCATCTGTATCTGCTCCTGGCTGGACACCCATAGTTCACAGACCAAGATCCCTACAGGTATCTCTGGAAGAAGACAACCTGCCTCTCAGTCCAACTCAGGCTATTCCATGTACAGGCAGGGCTCTTACCACACACTCATACGCATACATGCACACCCAGAACCCCTGGCTCCCCTCTTGGTTCTCACCTCCGTGTAGGCCTGGGTCACCTGCTCATACAAGGACTGGTGGTGGTGGATCGCCAGCTCCAGGTCCTGCATCTCGGACGGCAGCCCGCCTTCACTGCACATCTTGCACCAAGCATCTACTCCTGACAAGAACTGAAAGGAGATTCCAGGTGAGTGAGAGTGGGAACACTGGGATGGGGATGCATGGGTTATGTAGAGAGGGTTAGACACCCTGGGAACAAGCACAGGGACTTCCACTGGTCTTCAGAGACCATCACAGCAGGCACATCTTTTTCCTTTAATTGGCCAAACACTAACCCCTAGAAAGATGAAGGCCAAGCCAGGCAGCTGTTTGGGAAGTGTAGTTTCCACAGAGAGGTTTATCATACAACTGTGGGGCCAGACAAGTCATCTGAAGGCTTGCCAGGTTTCACAACAAATGCAAGATACAGGTGTGGGAACCGCTCACTACAACCCACATATACACTGGAGCCTCTTGCTCTGTGCACACCCACAGGCACCCAATAGGGACTGCGTGCAATGTAATGATAGGCCTCCACACTTAAGCTCTGTGTGCACACTGAGTGGTGAAGAGAAGTAGAGAACACCTCCTGCAGGTCTACCAGGAACCTGTGGCACTCTGCAGAGACTATCCCCACAGGGGATAAAGACTAAGGCTCAACAGACTCCCACTTGGGTCAGGTTCCTGCAGGTGGGAGCAGGAAGAACAGTGTAGGGGAACAGACTGTGCTGTGTCTACAGTGACAATGGCTCCTGGGATGTGATATATAGACGCATATCTTAACAGACATCAAATTACTTAAAAATTAAAATTAACAACTGTGGAAGATGATGGGTCTCCATGCACAAAAGGATGAGCTATCTGAAATCACTCAGATTTATTGGGTGGAAAAATACACCTTTAAAATGCAAATAATTCTTCACCCAACAGTCTGGAATGGTTCTGTCTGTGATTCCCTGCGCCTGGGTGCACAGCTCCATTTAAATTAATTGCCTAAATACCTTTTTATCTCATTGCCTAGAATAGCCCATAGGAGGACAATAAAGAGCTGCCTAAATAAACGCAAAGAAAAAATAGTCTTGAATCAGTTTTTTTTTCCTCCCCAGTTTAAAAAAAAAAAAAAAGAGCATGGTTTATGAATTTCCCTGAAGGACTGATAATACCCAAGGAAATCACATTAAAAAATAGATACAAATAAAATTGCTTCGGATCCAAACCAATCCAAGTCAGAAAATATCAAATAAAATTTAACTCCTTCCGTTCCTCTCAGCTCTGGCATTCCATTCTCTTCTGCAACTACTCAGCTGCTTGACTTGGTGTCACTGTCAGCTTCAGCCCCTGGCTGTTAAGGTTGATTTTCCATCCTGTATATCTTTGGACCCATTAGGCCATTTCTCAGCAATTCTGGAAAAGTGCCCAGGTGCCATCCAGCATCAGACTGCTGGTACTTGCTGACATCTCAGAAGCTTCTTTGCTGAGTTATTGCTCCACCAATAACCACCTTACAGAGGAACTCACAAGCAACTTGACATTCTTGTATCAACTGTGTGGGGAGCAGCTCTTCCAGGTCCATGGGATTTCTTTGAAATACTCTAATAGGAGTCCTAGCTCCGGACAATGGTCAGCTTGAGGAGAGAAGGCCAGCGACAGATGGAAACAATGCCTTCCTTGCCAATCCAGATAAATCTTGAATAAAGTGTGAAGGAATAGTGCTGAAGAATAGTAGATTATACCTCAGTATCCTCAAGGTCCTAAAAATGGAGTGGTCACTATCAATCACTACTTTAAAAGGAAAGGTATGACTAGATTGCTCTCAAAGTGTAGGGCTATGCTTGATGTGTGACTCAAGTATTTATTTCAGTGATAGGAAGGTTGTAGGTGGAAATAAACAGGCAGAGAAATTTAAAAGATACCAGGATAGTGTATAGAGTGAATACTCATGGTAGTAATGTCTGCTATCTTGTACACACTAGGCATCTTATATATTCCATCTGCACTGTCACATCCTTATAACAGCCCTATGAGGCTCATGATCACCACATTAGAGAGGAGAAAACAAGCTCAGAATGGTGAGGTGATTCACCTAAGAGTTAATGAATAGTGGACTAGGGTTAGAAGGCACAGGTCTGGCCTCTAAGTCTAGACTTTTCCAATTATCCTATATTGCCTTCTCTGTTAAAATAGAAGGAGAGTATAACCATGTGTCTCAGGTTCTTTGATCTGTGAGTTACCCAAATGTGATACCAAGAAAGAAACTCAGGTTAAGACCATAGGCTTTTATGTTAGACACACCTGAGCTGAAATCTCAGTGACCCCATAGATTGTGTGATTTTTAACAGGAGTATGTGAGCAAACATTTAACAATCAGCATATATATGCAATGCTCTTTATTATAATTTCATGTAGCCAATGGATTTCCTGTAGGATGTTTTAGTTGAACTCTTGAATCCAGTCAACATACGGCTGCAGCGGCAAACTTGTAGAGTTCTGACACTGATAATGCTGAATGATATTTTCACTTACATTAAAGAGTAAAGTAAAAGTGAAAACACCTAAAGACTTATGTCAGCATTTCACTTGTTCATGAATGATGTTTGTGTCTTCTTTGCTGAATCAAATGATGATTTTTGAAGATAAGAAGAATATCTCCTTGATTTTATGTGGTACAATGTGGTACAACTATAGAAGGGCACATTTTTAAACTAAGTATATATTTTTAAACATTTCTCCCTAATTTTCTTAAGACCCTAGACAATCAATAAAACCATAAATCAAGCCCTGATTTGCGGCATGTGGTGCTTCTGTGGTGTAAAACTCCTACCATGGTCATTTTAAACTACCAGTGTGATATCATTAAATGTGCAGAGGGAAGAGATGACCATCAGCATGCAGTTGTTTAGGATTCCCGCCCCCCAGGGGAAAAAAAAGATAAAAATAACTTCAAGAACATAGATAATAACTAAACACAGCAGAATAATCAGGAAGTTAGGAGTTTTGAATCCTTACTACCTTTGCTTTTAATGAAACATAAATTTATATAATTTAGTTTTAAGTAGCTCATAAAATTCCTGAAAACTTAATAACTGGCTTTCCATGAGCTGGCCTGAACCAGGCTCCAACATATCACAGGTTCTTAGGCAGGTCACTTAATCTCTCTGAGCTCTAGTGCTCCTTTTTGTTACAAACCTTGCTAACATGGGTTAGTAAGGTCATTCACTGGCCAATGCTCAGCCACTTAATAAGTAAATGGCAACTATTTATTTCTACCCATTATGTTGTTATTATCTATAACAAATGCTTCATGTAAATTAATTTCCCCCTGCTCACAGAACTCAGTGATCACTGGACTTTCATCCTTTTGGTCTCTCTGAATGTATACCAAGTAGACAGTCAACACCCACCCTCACCACCACCCCCAACCATAAACTACTAAGCAGGACATGGCTTATTTTTAACTGCTACCTCCTAACAGGATATTGGTCTCTTTTTATTTATTTTTGTTTGTTTTTGTTTTGGGGGGTAGCTGGGATTAAACTTAGGGGAACTCAACCATATCCCCAGCCCTATTTTGGATTTTATTTAGAGACAAGGTCTCACTGAGTTGCTTAGCACCTTGTTTTTGTTGAGGCTGACTTTGAACTCAAGATCCTCCTGCCTTAGCCTCCTGAGATGTTGAGATTACAGGTGTGCACCACTGTACCAGGCCCTTTCTTATTTGTATGTCAAGCAAGGCCACCAAGAGCTAATAGTGTTTCTTTGTGAACACGGAGGCTATGAAAAAGCCGAACACCAGTTACTGCTGCAGCTGTTCAGCAGGGTCTTGGGTGTTTCAAAAAGACAGTAGGGGATTTCTGCAGAGATGGCATTTGTGTCCCCACCTTGCCATCCATCCCCCACTCCTGTTCTCTTCCCACTTCTAGCATCACCAAAGGTCTCTAGGCCTCACCTGTTCAGCCTTCTGATGGAACACAGCAGACATAGCCAGGATGGTGCTGCGTTCATCCAAGGCAGCGGCGAAGCTCTTCCATTCCTGGTCTAGCTGCGTAGAGATCTGCTTGATTTGCTGGGAGGCATAATGGCCAGCCTCAGAGAGGCGGGAAGCCACAGACATGATGCGGTTGATATTGACATAGGCATTCTGGGAAGCAAAAGAGAGTGGATGTTTAGTGGGGCAGGCTGAGAAGAAAACCACTGGGCACTTGTGGGGTGGGTATGTTTTGGGAGGAGGAGGCTACCCAAAACAAAAAGTTTAAGAGAGGCTGATATTAGCATACTGGTGTAACCATTGTGGGTCCAAGGGAAGTTATTCTCTATACTATAAAATCTTGGTAGATGGTGGCGACAGTAGCTGAGACTTCTCCTTCTGGAGAACCAGCACAGATTTTGTGCCAATTATTAATGCACATTAATGCATGGAATATCTTATGTGATCCTCACATCGAAAAGGTCACTCTAGGGGGATGGCACAATTCAAGAGCACTCTTTGAAAATAAATGGTTCAGACTAGGGTTTAAGCTGAAGGAGGCAAACACATCTCTCTTACTCAGGAGAGAGATGCATCCAGGACATTACCACCACCTACAACACGGCAGCGGTGCTCACCAAAGACAGCACACGAGACATGATGATTCTACATCTCTCTGTAACAGACCAAAGATGCCTCTCCCATCCTCCATCTCCACCCCACCCCCCACTGCCTCTGCCAGAAGAGCTGAGTCACTGGCCACCAGTCAGGGTGTACATAAATACAGCATGTGGAGCCACATTTTTCCATGATAAAAATAAGGTCTGTGGACCCCCTTATCACTGCTTGACTTGGGAACACTTCTCCACCTGATCCCAGATGGCATCTGTGGTTACTCCAAAGAGCACTTACAGGGACTCTCTTGACCCTTTGTCTCCTTCTGTCTTGTGTTTTGTTTACATTCATCCTCATCTTTGCTTGCCAATTAAAAATTCATGAACATATGCATTGTTTCCTACCAGACCAGCAAAAAAAAAAAAACCCTCCAGCAAGGAACAAGACAAAACCCCCACAAACATAAGACAGTAGCGATTCCGGTTATTTTTAACTGCTACCTCCTATTTAATCGTCTGAAGTGTCAAAACAATCAAGTAATATTGTGGCATCCACAGGGAGCTTCTCTGAATCACACCACGTCTGCCTGAGGAAGGGCCAGGGAAGCAAGTTATTCACACACCTTCACTCTTTGTTATAAATCTTCTCAAATGATAATAAATATTCTTAAGCAACAGTATTTTCTCTAGGCTCTATTAGCTCAGGTATAGTTCATTAATACTGGGGAGGCTTAATGAAGGTTCTTTATTTTCCTCTCCTACTTCCCTCATGGTCCCCATTCATCTCAGCTGTCCCCAGCCTCCAAGCACTCCATCCCAAACCTGGGCCGGGTTGACGAGGTCTTGCTTAATCTAAAAGTTCTCTGTGGAAGCTTAAGAGGTTAAGTGAGGTACTTAAACACAAATCTATCCTGAAGTCTAATGACCCCTGTGTGCTATCTCTGTTTTTAGTCTGGTGTGAGACCTTCCACACACACAGCATGTTTCTGTAACAGAGCTAGAATATTACTGACCGTCATTATGTGAAATAACTACCCTTCAAAGACTAGGAGTCATTATCAGCCCTATTTCTGAGTTAGAACACAAATTCTTCTGAAAATTAAACTCTATTTATAGAACTGACTGGGAAAAACACTGTACTTGGAAATAGAAGAGGGAAAGAGAAAAAAAAGCATGTACTGATTTTAATAGTTTTACCTTCTAGAGGAATAACATTGAACCCCTTCCCTCAAATTTCTTGTTTCTATCATTGTCTTAATTTGTGATTTCCCCAAAGCAGACCTTGAATTAAGAAAAGAATTTGGGGCAGATAGTTGACTTGGGAGGTCACAGAGAAGACTTGTGTATGGGGGGTGAATAAAAGATGTATTGCTTGCTGGGTTCGTGCTCTGAGCAGATGGGGTTCATTCCCTCTAGAGACCTTTTGAGAAACTATAGAACATATTTCTAACCTGTCCGGCTGAGGAGAATCTGGGGTATTCATGTACTAGGTCCTACTGCTCATCTGCAAATGACCTCCAGGATTGGCTGAATGGTATAGGTGGGACTTTGAGTCTAATAGAGTTGTCCTCCCTGACTGGGTTAAAATCCTGAACTCTCAACATTTGTCCAGACCTGTCTTTGGTGTCCAGTTTTCCTGTCTGGGAGGAAGGACTTATGCACAGCTTTGGCCAGATGGGATGCAAGAAAAGCAATAAGAGGTGCTGGAGTTGTAGCTCAGTGGTAAAGCACTTGCCTAGCATGTGTGAGCACTAGGTTGGATCCTCAGCACCACATAAAAATCAAAAGTAAAAGCACTGTATCCATATACAACTAAAAAATATATTTAAAAACAATAAAAGCATGGCATTACCCTGTCCCCAGGTGCATCCTTGCCACCTGTTTACATTCTCCTCCTACCCAGGGAACAGAGGGAGGTGAACTTCCTAGCTTTAGAGATGTCCCACTGTGGCTGCCTCCAAAGACTGTTAACAGCTTGTCACTCACTCAAATATTTATGGAGAGTGTTGGGGGTGGTGGGAGATCAAAGAGAGTTGAGACAGGATTCCTGCCCACCCACCCCTTTGCCCTCAGGAGCTCACAGCTGAGATTTAGATAAATCCTCAAATAACAATAATTTAAAACAAAATGAAATCAAAGCTTCCACAGAGGTGGAAGCAAGTCACTGTGAGGATTCTGAGGGAAGGGATCTAAGCCACTAGCTGGGATGTTGGGAAGGGGCTTTCTGTGCTTATATGTGCTCACTCAAGGGTATAGGGAGGTGGCTACTTTCCCAGGTTCCCTTCAACTTAAGTCTGTGGTCGCAGATGAACACTAAAAACAAGCAAACAGACCACGTTTACCCTTCATTCTGGAGACCAGTGCAATAAAAGCTTTCGTGTTTGCTTACTAGTGGGCAGAGAGATGTCTTACTAAAACTAACAAATAATTACGTTTCACAAAAGAAGTAGAGGTAGCATTCCTCACAATAGAGGGATAGATAGAATGTTGACTCGTGCATTTATTGGGTCATTGTCCCTCCCACCCCGTAACTCCTTTATAGAATATCACAACACCCTGGTGAGTCACACTGTCCAAATTCATTAGCTTCTTCATGTATTTTTTTTTTTTAACTGTAGAACCAGAGAGGAATGGCAGATAGATTCTGAACTGCAGTTGTCCCTCAGAATGAGGACAGTCGCGAACTAAATGAGAAGGGAAGAATGGCAGGGAAGGTCTCCAATTACTTAAAAGGAAAGAGCAAGGTCAACAAATGGATAAAGCATGTGAATAAATAGGGGTGCTTAGTTGCTAGGCATAAATGACATTTCGTGGTCTTTGGTCAGTCCATCAAGTAGTTCTGAGTGACTATTTATGCCTCTGTTAAAGAACATTTGCGAGTCACTGCTTTTTCTGGGAGTTGTTTGTCCTTGGGACATGGCCAGCAGGAATGGTTATTTTGGCTCTTTTTGGCCTTTCCATCTTCTACCAGCTGCCCCTCTACCCTTTCCAATCAGCCTGGCACTCTCATTCTTCCCAGTCAGCCTCAAATGCCTTTCCATCAGCAGAGCTGCCCGTCCATCAAGGACATCAAGCCACTGGGCCAGGAGTCAAGAGACATGAACTCTGGTTCTAGGTCTGGCATTCACTTAAGATGTAGCTGACTCCTCTGTATCTTGGTTTCCTCACCTGTAAAATGAGGTGAGGAAGGAGTGGGGAGGTAGTTTAACTAAGTGATCTCAGAGTAAGCAGTGCCCAGGAGGCAAGGGCAGTAGTTCTGTCTACCCAGAGGTCCACATGCCTCAGCATCTCATTCTGGCTCTGCTCATTGCCCTGAAGTGTGGACACCAAGGCTGGAGCCAGACCCTCTCAGGCTCCAGGTGATCAAGGACTAGCTGCCCTTTCTCTCTCACTCTCCTCAGGCCCTTCCCCTGAGCTAAGCTACTCAGACTAATCACCTTCTCTGGCCAAAAAAAAAAAAAAAAAAAAGTAACCTGACTAATAATTCTGCTTTGATGAGCATCTTCTTAAGTCCTGACTTTAAAACTGCTTTATTAAATTTAGATTCCTCATGCATATGTAGTGCTATTATTATGATTCAAAGTGTGGCATGGCTCAATCTGTAACTATGATCTATCCTGCAGAATGCAAGGCACCTGTAGCATCGTCTGCCACATCATCCACCAATCCTACCTCAAAGCCTTTCATCCATCATTTTAATCACAAGCAGGAAAAATAACTAACTTCCAGTAAAATTGTGCTAACTCAAAAACCGCCAGGTATTGTCACTGTGCCCCACTTTTGCTACTTAAAATATTCCCCATTTTCTTGTTTCATTGACAAAATCACTAACTGGAGATAACAGGAGGGTGCATCCCTTCGCCTAAGGCCTTGCCTCCTGCTGCAATCAACTGAATCAACTTTGCAGAATCTTCATCCTGCCAAAAGGACTCCCACTTTGAACCTGGTTCCTGGCTTACCCCAACTGGCTAAAAAAAAAAAAAAATGATGTTACTTGCAAGAAAATGATAACTTTCCATCCATTAAAAACAGCCAATTTTTCTCTGTGAGATTTCATCTGTTGTATAATCTGAAAGAGATACTGGTTCTTCTAGAGACAACTATTTGATACAAGCTACGATTTTGGCAATCTTAAGCATGTTAGGGCCTGATTATAAGAGGTAATTGCCATGTGTGTGTGTGTGTGTGTGTGTGTGTGTGTGTGTGTGTGTGTGTGTATGTTATTTGAATCTCATTCAATTCACTTTTACTCTAAAGTAGGAATGAACTTTACATATATGTGGTCACAGGTCCCCACTTTGAATCTGAAAGTCTTTTTATGAGTCACATGAGATGATATAAAGCACACAGTCAGTTGCCCAGCACATAACCATTACTGCAATGAAAGTATACCTTTTTTTTCATCCAGTACCAATGGACTGGCATTAACTCTCCAGTTTGTACAAAGTATCAGTAAAAGATATAACAAAAAGAAAAGCTATTCCAACAGATTTTATATCCAAAGTCGCATTGTATTTCACAGAGAGCAGGTCACAATGTCCCCTACTACTCCTGGGAAAA